TTAAAAATGAGCCACAACACATCTCATTCACTAGTCACTAAGACTAGGGAATGGTGATATTCTGGGTCCTCAATGGGAGAAAACAAGCTAGAGATGTCAACCAGCAGCTGTCACAACTACATTAACTATTCTGTTAAGGTAACTTCTACAGGGTATCTACCAACCTGAAAGCTTTGCTATTACTTTGTTTTGAACAGCCTTTCATTAAATTTAGAAGAAATGACACACAACTACCACAAAAAACATTGTCACAAATTAAGTAATATGCATATATTCTTTCATCTCAGTAAGGACATACATTTGTCAAAACTAATCCAGCCACACATTAGCATTTGTACATTTCACTATATATAAATTATACCTAAGATTTCAAAAATTTCATTAAACCACATATCAGTTTACAACTAGCTAACACTGGCGGTCACTCAAACAATTAGGAGCCGCTGAGGTTGCATTATAAACAAAACAGTAAGCAGAGTGCATCACTTTAAGTATACATTCATTCACTGGAAACTATGAAAACATATTCATGTAACCTACTTAATAACCCATTTTAAAGATTCAATTAGTAGGCAGTGGTGGGGGAACACCTTTAATCCCACCACTCAGAAGGCAGAAGGATATGAGTTCAAGGCCAGCCTAGTTTATAAAGTGACTTCCAGGCCAGACAGTTACATGGTGAGATGCTGTCTCAAAAAAATTCAACTCAGATTCAATTTATTTTAGTTACAACAAATTCTAGATTTCTTTTTTTCTTTCCAGACAGGTCTTGCTATGCTACCCAGGCTGGCCTCAGATAATGTTCAAGTGCTTAGATTACTGGTATGAGCCAAGCCTAGCTATATTGTTCTTTACGATGCTTGTACTTAACTAAACTTAGTCTCCTATATATTAAGCATGTGTTTCATCACTGACCTACAACTCCAAGCCAATTTTTGTTTTTTTTGGTAAAAGCTATAGCTATATGGATGAAGACTGGAGAACTGTGGATAGTGAATGAAGCTAAGTATGGCTTTCTCAGTATCAACTAGAAAGGTGTGGTGAGAGTTAGGAGTAGGCAGGATATGACCTTGACATCAAGGTGATAATGGCGAGAGAGAGAGAGAGAGAGAGAGAGAGAGAGAGAGAGAGAACTAGGAGCCAGAAGACTCTTCTGAGACCCAAGGTTTAATTTATATGAGTAAATGTTCCTTATTCATCCCTCAGATTTTGTTCAGCTCAAAAACACCATCTACTATCCCATAAATGCACAATACAAAGCATTTCTAGAACATTTCTAGAACAACCTAACAGTTGTTTTCCTTTAAAACATCACAACCTTATTCACAAAGACTTCAGCTGTGAAAAGTATTAACTAATACTTTGTAAATACTTTCTAAAATACCCGACATCCAAATGCAGAAGGCAGGAAGGTGTGGTTAAAAAACAAAGGCAAAGCTAGGCGGTGGTGGCACACACCTTTAATCCCAGCATTCTGGAGGCAGAGGCAGGCAGATCTCTGAAAGCTCAAAGTCAGTCTGGTCTACAGAGCAAGTTTGAAGACAAGCTCCTAGGCTACAGAGAAACCCCGTCTTGAAAAACCAAGGGGGGGGGGACACCAAATGTAAGAGGCAAGAACATTTCCCCATACCCAACTACCTTCTTACCATTGTATGCCTTTCTAAATAGTTAATCTAAAAGTTGCCAGAGACAGATGTGTAAGTTTTGAGGTACTGTTTTATAAAATACCATGTAAATGTAAGACTTGGACATAAGCATCAAACTCGGGGGGGGGATGCTTTGCAACTATCATCTGGACAGTTAAAATCCCAAACCTGAAAGGTCTAAGAATAACAAAGCAAAAGACTTTAAATAGAGAAGGATTCTGTTCACACCAAAAGTTCTGCCCTAAAAAGCAAGTAGCAATGAGTTCTTTTCCAAGCAGAATAAATTTCCCAAACGTTTCTTCTTGGGGGAGAAAAAAGTGTAGATCTATGTGAATGTATATCATATAGGAGTGCAAATGCCTGGACAACAAAGAGGTCACCAGATTCCCTGAGCTGGAGTTAGAGGCAGTTGTGGAAACCCCCTAGTGGGTAGCGGAAAATGAACTGTCCAGCTCTCTAGCCCTCCACAACATTTTCTACTCAACATTCTTCCAACCCCAACAAAACTAAAACATTAGTCATATTCTTTTTCAACTGTATAGACAGGAAGTTGATGAGCCTCAAAGAGGTTAAAAAAACCCAACTGTAGATCACCCTAGGTTCAGTACATTCAATCTAATTGTTCCGCTAAAGAGCTCTAGTTTATATAAATTGTTTTTCCTTTGTAGAGTTAATTCAATTCAGAGCTGCACGTAGAAAAGGAATGTAAAGGCCATGGTAATTCTAGGTGAGCTTCCAGATGTCCTGGAAGCCAAAAGGATTAAGTTTCTTACACCATACAACCGGATGACATATTTCACTCTTGGTTACATCTCTTTCTAAGCGGCTGTAAGACCCTCAAACTACACAGAAGAGGGAAGCCACCCACCTGTGGAGGCCCGGTAATTTTGATTCTGTCTTTTAAGATATACCAGAATATCTTAAAGTTAATCTTATAAACAGGATTGTGTGTATATAAACTCTTAAGTATGAAAGGGGGATGTGTATAAGTAAAAATTCGAGTTTTTAAATTACTATTAACTAATGGACAAAACATTATTCTAGTTGCCTAAAACTAGCCAGCCAACGTGCCTGAATATTTTCCAAGTAAATATTTTAGACATTCTATGCATAAGTGACACAAATACTGACAAATATACAAGAATGGGAAAATGTTAGCACAAAAAAAGTACTTTGGAAATCTTTATCTTTTGGTGCAAAAAGTGTGTTTTCATACTTCTGCTTAAAACCAACAAGGTAGCCTGTCATAGTGGCCGGCAATAGAAGAAATGACAGAAGAATCTGAGTTCTTGATACTAGCCAGAAATATACAGTGAGATCCATCTCAAAATAAAAAGGAAAAACTACAACACACTGTGTTTCTATGTACCTGTTCCTACCATTGCTAAACAAGTGTACACTTTCCCCACCCCTCCCTAATTACATTCTGTCTTAGGAACCACTCCCAGAAGCCACTCTATTCTTGGATGCCCTCCCCAACCAGTCCACCAAGCTTGCTTCCTGAAATCATCTCCTTTCCCAGGAAGCCTTAATTTAAAAGCCAGGTTAATCTATTTAGCCCCACCCACAGAAAGCTTACAAAGGCCATAACTCTCTCTGCATTCACCATTGTATAATAGGCACCTACTAGTCTGCTCCCTGTTAATTTATTCATCTGCTTATTTAGTAAACTACTCATTGCCCTTAATGATGGTCCTTAGGCTACCAGACTAAAGAACACATTAGCATTGGTTTAGCATTGAAAATGCAATGATGAATTTTTAAATTTATGAACTTCCCAGCACAGGGTTATTTTAAAAGCAAGACCAATATGTGAAATGAGCCAAACACAAATGACCCGACACGAACTGATTCTACTTGTTAAAAACAAAACAAACAAACAAACAAAACTCAATAGTAATGGAAGCAAATCAGTGGAGGGCAAGGGCCCTATTTCCTCCCATGATATTGTATTTTAGGGACAAAAACCATTCAAAAACTCAAACCTCCTCCAATTTCACTTTAATCTTTGCCATAAATCTGCAATTTTCTTTGAAAGAGCTCATTTACAAATGGCCAGTGGAGTATTTCTCACACAGCATCTATATTAAAAATGTCTGTCCTTTAAATGTATTGTTATTTAGATTGAAGGTAATTTGTCACTCAATTCAGGATTTAGGAAAAAGCTGGGTATGATAATGTACTCCTTTATTCCCCACATTTGAGAAGAGGAGATCTCTGCGTTCAAGGCCCAGGCTAGTCTATTTAACCCATACTAGGCAGAGACCTAGAGGAAGGGAGGAATGGAAAAGGAGAGAGAAGATTATGTAGCTGTCCACTTAATCATCAACTATGACTCTTTCTGTAAATGTTATCTTATTGACCACTGCTGGAAATAGTGAGGTTTAATTTTAAAAGTAACATTATAATAAGATTAAATACTTGAAAGAGCAGTTTTTTATCATTATTTCTATTTACCAGTCACCCCCCAAATTTTCCTTAAATGTTACAGACAAAAACACGCAACAGGTTGAAGCTACTCAAACTGCTACTAAGTGAAGCTTTCTTTCATAAAGCTGACCAGATTTCAACAGTTGGTGCTGTTCTGAACTGCCTTTGCCATAGCCTATAAAGTTTGTAGGAACCGAAACATTTCGGACATTACCATTCACAAAAGCAAAAACAAACGAACATATTGGCAGGGATATTAAGAATTTTAGGTCAGTATAATTTAACAAGTTATGTCGCATCTACTAGAGATCATACTCTGTTATGACACCTTCTTCCCAGAGTCTCATGGAACTTAATTCTTGGCTTTTCAAGGGTTAATCCATTTAAGGCTGCTAAAGGGAAACCAAGAAAGCTTAATATATGAATCCAAGCGGAGAAAAAGGCAGGAATATGGGGGTTGAGTCACGTCGTTCCGCCATTTTCTAAGCGGAGGAGGAAGACATGTTGGAACAAAAACACAACAAAAGAGCAGCCATTTCCCAAACCAGTTCCGATAGCAACCCCAACAGACGAAACTCGGTCACATCCGCACCTTCAAAACTGAAGTGGACAACCGTACGAATAACAAAAGTGTCGCCGTAAAGACAGCGAGATCCCTTCCGCGTAGGAATCAAAGATGACCCTGCATAGTTAACTGCAAATGAAAGCCACGGGAAGCGGAAAAATGACAGAAACTAAATGCAGCAGTACACAAAATTTCAACTAAGTTGGAGAACTAAAATTTATTCAACGATTACGGTTAACTGTGGAATCTGGGGAACTCAGCATCAAAACCGATTCAGCCGGTTTCATTATCAATCAGTCTCAACCCCTTTCACCATTTCTCAATTCCCTCTGTGATCAACTGTGTTCACGGGTGCTTACCGTATGTGAGGGATGCCAACCCCACCTTGAAGAATCTTATACAGTTTGCTCTCGTACAGCAACTGGGGATGCCTGGCCTTCTGGGATTCTAGCTTCACTGCCACTTCCTGCAGAGGAAAGGGGATGATGGCATCAACATCCCTACGGATTCAAACTCACTCGGGAAACGAGAAGAGAGATTAGCAATGTTTGCTTCTAGTCGCCACTACAAGGACGTGAGAGGATGGGGGAAAGCTACCTTTGCAATTACAAAACAAGCCAGCCAGTTTCAAAGGCTTTTTCCTGGGGACAATGGCGAACCCTCCATGTCCTCTAAATCTAAAGTGAACGAAAGGATTCGTCCAGAAAACAGGCAACCTTGAAACGTAAGGCGAGATTTTTTTAAAGAAGGAAACTGTTCTAACTGGAACAAGAATCCCAAACTAAAGAAATACAAAGACTACCAGGGCGATTACACGACTTCGCCCTACTTCTTATCTTAATTAATGGTTGAAAAGAGACATTTTGGACAAGTTGGGAAACCTCAGAGTTTATCCAGCCTTTCTATCGCGTTTTTCCTTTTTAGGGAAATAGTGGGGGAGGTTGCTAAGCCAGGAAAGCTGGCTCGCTCTAGACTCCCCAGTGCGTGCGTGCGTGCGTGCAGTGGGATGAGGCTTGGAGTACTTAGGGGGGTTGGGGTGGGGAAAAAAAAAACAGCCCAGCATTATCGTCCTCCCCCCACCTCACCGGGTGATTACCTCGCCATTGGTGATGTTGATCGCCAGATAAATGTCCCCGAAGGAGCCAGATCCGATCTTCCGCACCAGTTTGTATTTCCCTCCGACGATAAATTCGGCCTTAGAGCCGCTGCTGCTCGCCATCCTGAGAAGCGAAGATGGAGGCGGGGGCGAAGCCCCGACACCTCTAGGGGGAGGATGGAGGCCTCCGGGTCTGTTCCGCCCGGTAAAACTGCGGAGCGCGGCAGGCAAGCGAAAAGCGAGGCTTTGTTGGCGTTACAGGGGCGCGGAGTCGGCTGCGAGAAGCCGGATCGCCGCCGCTCGCTGAGGGCCGGGCCGCGGTTCGTGAAGGGTGATCGCGGCGGCTGACGCTCGGCCGGTTGCTTTGGGGCGGCCGCCGATGTCTCGCGTCCGCGGCGACGTTGCGGGCTGGGAAAGGGGCGCGGTGAGTTAGGGCGGTGGTACCGATGCCACCAGTGCCGCCGGCTCCGGCCCGGAGGGACCCCGTCACTCCGTCAATGCCGCCATCTTGTTCCTCCAGCTCCAGCCAACACAAAATGCCCCCAGTCCCTGGGAGCCGCTTCTTCACGGCGCAGAGCACTCTGGGAAAGGGATCTCGGGCGCTCTTTCGGTAGGGTGGGCTGCGAGACGGAGGGCGGAACCGGATCCGCGAGAGTCGCAGCCCACGCTCCAAGCGTCACCCCGGCGCCGCCCAGCTGCGCCTGCGCACTGCGATGCCTGCGGACCGCGCAGGCCCGGTACGGCCTGCCGTCTTCCCCAGCCCGGGCTCACTTCCACTTCCGGCCGTCTGCGGGTCCACTCTTGCTACCTGTTAGTCATTTTAGGCCCCGAGGACTGTATCGGGCTGTGAGTCTGGAGAGAGTGTTAGGGAGTCACCTTTTTTTTTTTTTTTTTTTAAATTTCAAATGTGGCCAGTGGAAGCTTCTGATCTCCTTGGGAGTTGAGTGTTGACCATTATTCCGCGTTTGAGGCGGTTTATAACCTTTGATCCTTCTTCAGGTTGTCCCTCTGGGGCCGTCCTTTTCCAGCCTAGCTTCTGTTTGGAAAGAGAAAAGCTGCACTGGGCGAGCTGGGTTCAGGAAGTGGCTCAGTTTTTTATCTGGCCTAGTTGATTACTAATAATTGGCGTTCGGGGCTCCGTGGAATGTTGCGAGCTCCCCTCCCCTGCTCAGAAAGAACCTGGAATTGGTCTCACCCTATGAATACACTTGATCTGAGAGGAGCAAATCTAGTAGGTGCTTCATAATATTACTAACATGTAACGAAGAGAAAAACAATAACAAGCCGGGCGGTAGTGGTGCACATGCCTTTAATCCCAGTACTTAGGAGGCAGAAGCAGGTGAATCTGAGTTTGAGGCCAGCCTGGTCTACAAGCTAGTTCCAGGAAAGCCATGGATACACAAAGAAACTGTCTCGAACTCCTCCCTTCAAAAAAAAAGAAGAAGAAGAGGAGGAGGAGAAGAAGGAAGACTGCGCACAGTAAAAGTTGTTGCACCCATCCCCAAAAGAAACAGTCACGTTTTAGTACGATATTGATGTAAACGGCACAGGTAACTATTACAATATAAAAATGGGGGCCTGGAGAGATGGCTCAGTGGTTAAGAGCCCTGACTCCTCTTCCAGAAGTCCTGAGTTTAATTCCCAGTAACAACATGGTGGTGGTTCACAACCACCTATAATGTGATCCAAAGCCCTCTTCTGTCATGCAGGCATACGTGCAAATAGAGCGCTCACATACATAAAACACATAAATAAATCTGAAAAAAAAAGTGACGGTATATAAACTTAACAAGGTATTTTTTTTTAAGTAAAAACTGATTGGACAATCAGGACTTGACCTTATTTTCAATTATAAAATTTGACTGAAAATTGAACGTGAAATTATAAAATTTACAAAAGCACTGTTGGGTGCAACGAAGAATGATTATAGCTCTAGGTTGTAAAAATTTTAAGTCAACCCTAAAATGAACTCATCAAAATGAAAAAAACGATGTATTTTTTATTTTGTTTATGTGTGTGTTTGCATATTTATGTGCACCACATACATGGGTGCCAGAGAGAACTGGATCACCTGAACTGAAGTCACATTTGCCTGAAAGCCATCTAATATAGGTGACAAAAACTGATCTCCTGGTCCTCTGCAAGAGTAGTAAGTGCTCTAAACCACTGAGCTGTCTGTCATTCC